AAAATTGCAACTTAAGGCCAAAAAACCAATTTTTCACAGAAAAAAACTAGGGTGAGGTGCCTACCACACCTTGGGATGCATAAATCTCAAAAAGTTACTCCAAAAAAAAATCACCCTAATCAAACATCGGAGTGCAAAGTTACGGCCTCCGAAAGTTTGCATGCATCGAGTGTGCAACCTGCGACCCAGTGACCGAGTTGAACAGGTCAATGGTTAAACCATCAGGTGGTTTTTTACCAAGTCAACCTACAACCCACCTTTCCTAAATTATCTTTAATTCATATTTATCTGCTAAATTATCTCTCATTTCTATTTATCCTCTTCCCCACTTTTCATCTATATTTATATAAATAAAGTATAAAATTAAAAAAATTAAAAATGATTTAAATAGAACAACGAAATTATGTAATAACATTAATACAAATATAATTTTATGGATCATTTAGTTTAATAGCTAAGGGCCTATTTGTTTGCTCTGACGTTTGACATTTAAAAGTGTAATAATTATATTTTGAGGTATATTAGTATTGGTGAACTTTTCTTTCCTTTGAACTCTAAATGTAAAAAATGTTGTTTTGAATTTTAAAAATTGTAAAATATTCATTTTAATCCATATATGATATTTTTTGTTTGTCTATGTAATTCAATGAAAAATAAAATAAAAAATTATTATAATGATTAGTAATTAATTAATAACAATTATAATTATTAATAAATAATTATTAATTGTTAATAATTAATATTTAATTTCCAACTAATAATAAATATTATTTTAATTAATAATTAATGATTATAATATATTAATTGTTATAATAATTAATTACAATAATTCTTATTAATTAGTAAATATGAATAAATACTATATTAATTAGTATTAACAATAGTTATTATTAATTAATTATTATTTTTTTGTAATTTAATTAAGAATTGATATTAAAAATTGTTATAATGATTAATATTAATGAACAATTGACAATGATGATTATAATAATTAATAAATATTGATTAATGAATAATCATTAATTATTATAACAATTATTATTAGTTAATTATTAATTAGTATTAATTAACTTTTAATAATAATAATAGTAAATTATTGTTATTTTTGCATTATAAAAAATATTAAATGTAGTATACAAAAATAAATCATTATTAATTGTTTAAAAAGTTGCCTACCCTTATGTGTTTCTATTTTTTAAATTTTGCTTAACAAGGCCCGTGTATTGCGTGGGTGCCCGTTAGTTTTTATCTATTTATTAAATATCTTTAAATTGAAATTTTTAATATATTTATTAATTTATAATATTTTCAAATAAATTTATAGCTACAAATAACTAAAATATGTGGTTGTAGTTGTACATAGGTTTTAGCCACGAATAAAATACGGGGCTATAGTTGTAAATAGCTTTTACCTAAGCGAAAAAGATCTTTAGCCACACATTAAATGACCGTAGCTATAGTTGAGCTTTTACTGATGTAACTTATAGGCACTAATAGCTTAAAACCATGGTTACATGTATCTTTTAGCCATGGACAAACAATTTGTAGCCATGGCCAAAACTGATGGCGTGCTTCATTTGGGCTGTTGCACCTTGTGTGAATTAAGATGTCTAAGAGCCCAACTAGATTTATTCTACGAATGGTTTAGCTAGTCAAGAGATCATTTATAAAAAATCAATGGTGCTCTTCAACCATGACACTCATAGATGTCTAAGAGAGTAGGTTTCTTCTTATTTGGATATGAAACCCATGCAAGATGATGAAAATAAGTGGGTGTACCTCTACTAATGGGTCACTCCAAATGTGCACAATAGCAACTCCTTTTAGAAGAATGAGGAAAACGCTAGATGGTTGGAAAATTTATCTTCTCTCTCAAGCAGGAAGATAGTTTGATCAAAATATTCTCTTGAGACTGTACTAACCTACTACATGCAAACAAATATTCTCCCAAATGACATTTGTAACAAGTTAGATGCTGTTTATAGAAACTTTTGGTGGGGTGATGCAAAGGAAAAATCAAAAGTTCATCTCACACCTTAGTCGACCATGATTAACTTAAAATAAGAATGTGGTTTTGGGCTTTATGAAACTAAACACTGAAATCAAGTATTACTAGCAAAAAATTGTTAGCATTTTCTAACAAATGTTGATTCACTATGGGCCTAGATTCTTGCATCAAAATATTTGAAGGATAAAAACTTCTAAGAGTTTGCTAACAAGTAGTTCTACAACTTGGATTGGGATGATGAAAATTGAAGCCATTCTCCAACATGGTACATGCTTCTTATTGGGTAATGACTAGTTCATAGATTTCTTACATGACCCTTGGTGTGGCTAAGGGCAATCTCCATTCCCTGTCCCCAATCGGGTATTCCTATTAATCCCATGCCCACTCTATCCTTGCTAAGGCAATCTCTATTCCCATCTCTGCCTGCTTAAGGAGGTTGGGTACTCGATGGGGATAGGGAAAATTGCCATCCCTATCCCTGTGTTGTGTAGTCCCACAGAGCAATAAGTTTTAAGTCAAATAAGCCCCAACATCTTTTAAGATTCCATGCATCACATGGGGCTTTGGGAGGGAAAATGGTTCATACTCCAAGTTAGTTTTTATTTTTGTTTTTGGTATTTAATCGCACGCCTTGTTGTCCCATATGGGCTATGATTCATTTTTTCTTGAGCATAATGCGACACTTTTAGCGTCAATCCAATAAATCTTCTCCAAAGCCAATGGGAGACCCTAGTGGGGTTCAGATCTATATCTCTTATGGGACTACCCAATTTATATACCAATTGAGCCACCACTTAGTTGGCCTCTAGGTTGGTTTTTAAGACATTAGCTAAAAACTTAAAATTAATAAAAAAGTACAGCTAAGGGTAGCTTGAGCATGGCAACTATCGGAGGACTTATTAGGGACCACAATGATTAATGGAAAGGTGGATTCACATTCTATGTGAGATTATGAGGGTGTTTGGTTCTGTAGGTGTTTATTGAAAAAATGCCACCACATTAGTGCCACATAGGCGTTTATCGTGCATGAAACCACTTTTTGGTTTCACTATTTATCAAATAAACATTAAAAATCATAAATGCTTGGATTTATGTGCGCCAGACATTTGGGAAAACATCAAATTCTTGTTTCCCCAATGCCCCAACATTCTTAAAAGGAAATGCTTATGTGATACACTTTTATGGGGTGTTAACCTGAGGTGGAAAGTAAGAAACGTTTAAAGTAATGCCCAACCAAACAACAAAAGCAAGAAATGTTAGTAAAGTTTTACAAATAAACATTTAAGGCAATAAATGACCCATCTATAAACTTCCATGGAAAACCTACTATATCTACTAACAATTTGGCTAAACTTTGTGGTATATATGAAGATTTTTAAAACCGAACCAGACAATGTATCGGTCAGGGGTCTAGTTCTCGGGTCAAGCGGTTTGAACGTTCGAACCGAATGAACGGTCCATTCTAACAAAAGAAGTTAAAAAAATAAAAATGGCCAAAACCATTGGATGGTTCGAATGGTTTGAATGGTTCAACCGCCTGGGTCAGTGGTTTGCTAGCCAAATCAACAGTTTTTGGCGAAATAGCAGTTCTGGGGTAAAAACAGAACCAGTCACCTGAATGGTTCCTGGTTTTTCCGGTCCAACCGTCTGGTCCAATCTGGTTTTGAAAACCATGGTATATATCATGGTCTCTGCTCTTGGCTTTTTTGGGAGAAAGGTTACCAGAAAGTTATCCTCAAATCAGATTCCCACTCATCATCTATCCAAGCCATAACTAATCGGCATATTGTTCAACCGGAAAATACTCTCCTGTTTAGAAAAATCACCTCTCTCCTTGATAGAAGCTGATGTGTGCAACCTCAGTACTTCCATTGGAAAGCAATAAAGGTGCAGATATTCTTACACAGGTTTTGTCAATGTTCAGACTTCAATTAGATGGGTCTTCCATTCAGTCATCTTATGCAGGTTATGGAGCATAAGACAGTCCTAGTTCTGCTCTATTCTCTGAAACATATGCAGCTTTGATGGGTTTGAAGTTGGATAAATTTATCAATATGAAGAATCTTGTATTGGTCAGTGATAGTTTGACTCTCCTTGAGAGGCTTATCCATCCAAAACATCATGATGTCTTCTGGTTCCTTCTTGGTGAGGTTAAAAGGAGAGAGATGAAGTACTTTGAACCAGTTTGTTTCTCTCATGCATGTAGGTTTGAGAACAGGGTGGCCTAGCTCTGACTTCTGAGCTGTTCTCTGAACCCAATGCAGCTTTGATGGGTTTGAAATTGAAAAAAGGTTATAATATTAAGACTCTTATATTGGTCAGTGATAGTTTGACTCTCCTTTGAGAGGCTTTGCCATCTAAACAATCTTATACATCATAATGTCTGGTTCCAACTCAGTGATGTTAAAGCATAAATGAAGCCCTTTGATCAATCAGTTTGTTTGTCTCATGTATGTAGATTTGAGAGCAGGGTGGCCCATTTTTTGTCTACTAGCATGTGTAGAGAGAGAGAAGACTCTGGTTTCACCACCATCCAATTTGGTTGAAAGAGAGCACTGGGATGGCTGTACTCCTCTTCAGTCTGCCCTCTCTCTGTGATTTCTTAATCAAAGTTCATTTTCACCAAAAAAGAGGTTGCAAGGACTATCCCACATTTTTTCTCATCAGAGCTTGTCTTCTCTCACAGTTGAGCTGTTTTTCGACAGGTTGACTCACATTTTTTATTTCTCAGATCTCAGAAACAAAAAAAGAAAATATAGCTTGTGTAAGGAAGCTGAACAAGAAAGCGCCATTATAAATTCCCAAGCAGGTTGAGCATCCAATGCATGTCTTGGATCTGTCATTGGAGATTCCTCCACATGACAAAACTAGGTGGGTCCCACACTCAGTCTCTCTCTCCTTAGTCGGGAGTTAGGACCAGACACGTGTCGTTAGCATAAAGGTGGCAAGCTATGAAAGACTGAGAGGGCCCAGTGACAACTACCAATCCTGCGGCTCATGGTCCCGGCCAAAGAGCAGTTTCCCTTGTAAAATACTCTTCTATTCTGCTTTTTTTCTTTCTCTGATGGAAGAACACGGGACTGTAGATGTGATTTCTGATGGATGTGTATGATGCACCAAACCAAACATCATACATCCCACAGGGTCACAACGATAATAAACGGAAATCCTGTTCTGTCGACACCCAGTTGGTTCCTTTCCATCTCCCTCTTCTGCTTTGATGGCAACTATGCCGTCCATGGATTCGTTAACGGGAAAGGTCAAGCAAGCCCTGCTACTCTATTTTGATGGTTTCAGGGAGGCCTGTTGTCTTCATAGGGTCGTCATCTTCTGCCGCAAGTTATTCCTCTTCCTTTCTTCTTCTTATTCTTCTTCTTCCGTTGCTGTTTGTTTGATTGAATTCGTGGGTTCTTTTCGGGTAGGTCGAGAATGCTTTTTATCCGAACTGGGCAGTGCTTTCTCTTGAATGGCTTGATTTTTTTAGGAAGGTAATTCTACTCCTCTCTGTTGATCCTTCAGTTTGTTTTCTCCCTCGATCCCAAGACATTATCTTGAACTTTTTTTCTTTTGGTATTTTATCCGATGAACCATGGATCATCATCATCATCAAATTGTTTGTAATTGTCATCTCGGTAAATTATGCTGGGCTAGTCAATAAGGGGCATTTTTCTCAACAATATAGGAAAAAATTAGGAATCATCTCTCAGCGCATTTGGTTATATATTCTGAAAATTATTTTCTCCAGGCACTTTACCAGTATAAGTAAAACTAAAACAATCTTTCACAATTGGGTACTTGAGTTGTGCACTGCCATATCTATATTCTTCTTTTTCTGGTGCTTCTGTAGATTAATCTCTGTAAATTGGATAATGTTGTCTATATTTCAGTGCGTATGAGTGAAGCATGACACTAAACGGATTATGGTTGTTATCTTTATCTTTTCCTATTTAGTCCCTTTCTTCTTTTACTGAATGCTATTCAGTTTTCTTTTGGAACCCTATGCACAAATTCCATTACTTGTATAGATTTTTAATTCTTTTGGTCATTATTCAGTTGAATGTAAAGTTTATTGCACATGAAGTATCTTGGTTAAGTTAATCACAGTTGCAACCAATTTACTTAAAATTTTCAATTTCTCTCTGTTGCAGCTTGTTTATTCTAAACTCAGTTGTCATCCCAACGATACAATGGATTTTGCCTGATGAATGCCAAAACTTTGGTTCAAAAGATCTTTGCCCCCTTGGTGGTATTGTAAAACTATATTCCTTTTTAAGTAATGGACTTATCCAACTATTCTATGTAAGTATGCATTGTTTTTCAAAAAGCTGCTTGAGTCATTTTATGATTTATCTTGTATTTCTTTTCACTATACATGGTATGTGCACATGGCAATGTGTGTTTGTAGGGCCTATTGGTTACAATCAGAACTTGTTTCAAAATTGCATTTCAACTAATCAGTCTACAGTTTAGTCAGATTTTTATAGCTCCTCAACTTTAACCAGCCAGTAGAAATTCTGGCTGCTTCTGGATCATAAGATATCTGAATAGTCCATTTGTTGCCTCAATTTCTTATTATTTTAATATATGAATTTCTTGTGATTATACAATTCTATAATATAGATGAGATAGTGAACATTTCTATGTTAGAGAAAGAATACCATGTAATTGGTCCTAATAGCTCAAAATTAGCATTGCAGCTAATCAATGAAAAAAAAAAAATAAAAACAAAACAGTTTCAAAAGATTGCATCTGCATTAAGAAAAGGAAGAATTGTCACATACATTGTATTGATTTAGAAAAAGAATATAATAGAGTGCGTAGAGATTAATTTTCTGGCCATTGGTTAAAAAATTAACTCTTTAGCAGATACCTAGCAATCTGCTAGGTATAAATTCCCATTAAAAGAAATGGTACATGTTGTTGCGTTAGAGATAAACCACATATTAAGAGTGAGATGATAGTATTTTCAATGATAAGACTTAAGAGTAGGACCCAAGCAGAAATCCTCGAGTTAGTTAAGCTTAAAACTGCAAATTGGGTGAAAACTTTGGATGATTTCAAAGTCTTTTCACTGAATGATAATTTGAGAACCTGGAAAGAGGTGGCACTATCGGCTATAGACAAGGCAAGGGCAGTGATGGAATGGTGGGGTGTCTTCAGAGATAAAGAAGGCAGAGTGGTGGCTCAATATTCAGGACCCTTGGAGCATAGCGATGCATTGACAGCTGAACTGGTTAGTCTACTGCAGGGGTTAAGGCTTGCGAAACAACTAGGCTTTCTTTAAGTGGGTAAGAATTTATACCTGAATACCCAAGGAATCTCGGAGCTATTTCTGGTCCATGAGATGACTACTTGGGAATCCCCTTGCACCTCTATATTGTGAAATTCAGGGAGATTGTAAGCCTAACAAGGGAACTAAATGCTTCCTTTAAGTGGGTAAGAAGAACAGCAAATGGAATGGCAGATTCTCTGGCCAAACAAGGGGCTGTGAGATGGAAAATGTTTTGGGAAAATCTGTAATCTTTGCTGATTTGGGATGGAACTTACACCCCAGATCTTGTAATTCCTAATCTTTCATTAATAAAATTCCTTTTCTGCTGATAAAAAATAAAAAAAGGATTGTATTTGCATCTACATCTCTCTCTATATAGTATGGTGGGACTCATCATCATTATCTAAGCCTTATCCCAACTATATGGGGTTGGCTACATGAGTCCTGTTTCACCATTCCATTCTATTTAGTGCAATATAGTATATTGGGGTCAAATAAGATTATTTGGTTTTTACCAGACTAATTCTTTTCACTACATTTAAATTGTTGTCGTGATGAATTTTCCATGTAAGGTAGGTAGTGATTTTTGTGGTATTTCTAAGGTGTCCTTTTTCTTTCTTTATTGTATTTGTTTAGTTATGTTTTTGTATATGCATTCTCTTCCAATCTATTTTGATTTTTTGGCATTCTGATTCTGTATGATTGGCCATTCCCTTGCAGATCTTTTGGTTTTACCCACTATACGTTTTCAGCTTTGTTCTGAGCAGCATCTGGTATTGATTGTTTCTTTTATCCACTGTTTCATGCCATGTAGCAAATTTTTTGCAATTAGTGTTTCTGTAATATTATTAAATCATTATTTTGGTATCAATCCTCACTTGTAAATATAATGCCTTTGTTCTTGATGTATTGTTTAATTGGAATATTGCTATGTTGTTGCAAGTTGCAAATCAGCTGATACACTTTCCAACTTGTAACCAAATTTTTAGCTACCACAGAATTGGTTATGTGCATTGGCTTATTTCTTAGCTAGTTTTTTTGGAATTAAATTCTCATAAAAGAAAAATATATGCCCATCCATTTTTCTAATAGTCCAAGGTAAGTTGCATGTAATTATCAAAAACGAAGATGATATAGGTAGGGGTTAACCGAACCGTGGGGCTTTTTTTAGGATCGAACTGGTACTACCGGTTTTCCAAAAACCGGTAATCAAAACTGAACCAAAACCAGTCGGTTAACTGGTTGACTGGTTCGGTTAACCATCGGTTTGGTTTGTCGGTTTTTCAAATTTTTATAATAAAAAATTATAAATATATATAAAGTATTATATTTTAATTAATAAATAATATATCATATATTATAAATATATATATATATATTTATATATACAATGCATATTTATTAATTTATAATATATAAAAATATAAAAAATATATGTAATATACATAAATATATAAAATATATAGAATATATGTATACCGGTTGGTTCGGTTAACCGCCAGTTTTTTATATTGTTTAACCGAAACTGAACCAATACCTTTGGTTTTTTAAAAACACCGAACTGAAATCGAACCGGTCGGTTCGGTTAACCGATTTTTCGGTTCGGTTTTGGTCGGTTTGGTTTTTCGGTATTTTTTGCTCACCGCTAGATATAGGTATGGAAGCAAGGAGAGAAACCATGGAAGAAGCAGGGTGATTACAATTTTGGTATTTTTTGAGTTTTTCAAATTTAATTTCTAGTTTTTTATTGTTGTATGACTAAAGTTAGTCATTTTAAAGGGCCAACTTATTTTGCAGTCTTATTAAAGAGTTTTTAAAATTTTGAAAAGTTAAAGATGCAATCATATTATTTTTCTTTCACCTTATTTTTAGGGGTCAAAACTTGTACTTTCTCATGATTTTGTTGCCATCAGATAGGTGATTGAGTTATCTATCCAACAAGGTTAAGATCTTGTAAACTTAACATGCCTTGAGTAGTTATGATTATTTTATTCATAGTGTCAGTCTATGATGGGAGTTGGGTCCTATTTCTTTAGGCCACTCTTGGAGTTGTTTTTGGTTTTAAGTTGTTGAAGGACTAGTAAGTCATATTAGAGTTATTTTAGGAGTTAGAGTGCTTATTTGTGCATCTCAATGGGTTACCTAGATTCATATTAGATTTTCTTTATGGTAGTAAAAAGAAAAATTTTATTAATAAAATAAAAAGTAGACACATAAGTAACAAGGTATGACCAATGCCAAAACCCACCATATGACCAAACCTCATACCCTAGATACCACACATGATCCTTAGAGTAGGGAAAAACTCAAAACAAAAAAGCCGACTCCCAACCCCTATCCCCAAGCACATTACAATGTAAAAAACTACCCCCACCCCAACCCAAGAAACATAAATTGTTTCTTAATAACATCTGACACCCAATAGTATCCCCCCTAATCCAATCCATTAAAATTATTTTATTCATAAGATGCTCATTAAACCTCACAGTTGTAGACCCAAAACACCTCTTTCTACTTACATTCAGATGAAGGAAAATGTTTTCTTACAAGAATAGAGAGAGGGAAGAGAGAGGAGAGAAGAGAAGGGGGGGGGAGATGTGTGAGAGTCAAAAGATTAGGCTAGTGGTGCCCAACTTCTCTTTTATATTAATATGATGTAAAAATATAAAAAAAGAAAATTACAAGTAGGTCCCTAGCGGCCACCCTAAACATAAAACTTAAGTAAAGAAAAGAACATGCTGACAACAGTCTACGCTGACAACAATCTAACAATAAGAATAGACACTCAATCCAACAACACTCCCCCTCAAGTTGGGCAGAATATATCTATCATGCGCAACTTGTCACATAGTTCATTGTGCCTCAAGTATGGAAGCCCTTTTGTGAGAACATCAGCAAGTTGTTCCTTGTATTTGACATAAGGAGTACAAATTTCTCCCTTTTCCAATTTTTCTCTTATGAAGTGCTTGTCTACTTCAATGTGTTTGGTCCTATCATGTAGGACAAGATTGCTAGCAATGTTAATAGCTACCTTATTGTTACAGTAGAGGGACATAGGATTGTGAACAATAACCCCAAGTTCCTCTAACAGGGTTCTTCAGCCACCCCATGCGCCATAGCCCTATACTCCGCCCGCTTCAGCACTTGACCTTGCAACTACACTTTGTTTCTTACTTCTCCATGTCACTAGATTTCCTTCTACAAAAGTACAGTACCCACTTATGGATTTTCTATCATTCACAACACCTACCCAATCAACATCTGTATAGGCTTCCACTCTCAAATGATTATGTTTGCTGAATAGCAATCTTATTCTTGGATACTTCTTCAAATACCTAAGAATCCTCTCTACTGCCTCCATGTGTGGTCTCTTGGGGGAATGCATGAATTGGCTCAGGACCCCAACTGAATAAGCAATGTCTAGATGTGTCATGGACAAATAAAACAACCTTCCCACTAACCTTTGAAACTGTTTTACATCTTCCAGTGGTTCACCATCACAATCTCCTAGTTTATGATCAACATCACATCCATTAGGGGTATCTGCTGGTTTTGCACCTAACTTGCCTGTGTCCTGTAACAGATCAAGGATATACTTCCTTTGAGAAATGAAGATGCCCCTTTTTAAGCGTGCAACTTCAATTCATAGAAAGTACTTTAGGGGACCCAGGTCTTTTACTTCAAATTGAGAGGCAAGGAATTCCTTCAACTTTTGCATTTCTGTGCTTCGGTTTCCTATAATGATGATATCATCCACGTACACTATCAACACAATCACTTGTTCCCGACATCTCTTCATAAAGAGAGTGTAATCAGACTGACATTGTTTGAACCCTACTTGCTAAACTGCCATATGAAATTTATTGAACCATGCTCTAGGAGATTGCTTTAAACCATAGAGAGACTATCTTAGCTTGCATTGCCTTATTTTCACTTCCTTTGGCATAGAAACCTAGGGGTTGAACCATGTAGACCTCCTCTTCTAGATCACCATTTAAAAAGGCATTCTTTATATCCAATTGATGCAATTCCTAGTCAAGGTTTGCAGCTAATGATAAAAGAACTCGAATTGAGTTCATCTTAGCTACTGGAGCAAACATTTCATCATAGTCAACACCATATACTTGAGTGTACCCTTTAGCTACCAGCCTTGCTTTGTACCTTTCAATTGTCCCGTCTGCCTTGTGTTTCATTGTAAACACTCACTTACACCCCCATTGGGTCTTTCCCTTTTGGAAGATCCACCAACTCCCATGTTTGATTCTTATGGAGGGCATTAATTTCCTCCTTCATTGCATCTGTCCATTCAGGGTATTTTAAAGCCTCTGCTACATTTCTGGGCATGGGGATGCTATCAATTGCAGATAGGAAGGCATAGTGAGAAGGGGAAATGTGATAATAGGAAACATACTAGGTAATGGGGTGTTTGGTAGTGCATGACTTGACTCCCTTTCTGTGAGCAATAGGAATGTCAAGGTCATCCACAACCGGAATGTGAGCTAGGGTATCAACAGGTGAAATAGAAGGTGCTGGAATCTGACATTGTTAGTTGCTCAGTGTTTGGTGGTTCCACATCTTTCACATTGCTAATCTCTATGGCGTTTACGTTGAAAGACACGAAAGGGAGCAGGATCTGAAATAGAAGGCAGGGAGACTTGACGGACCTTATCATGTGTATGTCTTGAACGTCGGCAATGGGTACAGAATAACTTGTCCTTATCATCAACTTTTCTGGAGTCATTTTTCTTTCCCATATTATTATCACCCATTGCAACTAATGCTATCTGTTGCTTCCCCTCAGTTGTAATCATCACACTCCACCTACTTTCCTCGGACTGAACAAGGGCATATACTTCTTGGAGTGAAAGCAGCTCTTTACTTCCTAAGATCTGAACTCTAAGTGGTTCATGTACGGGGTTTAGTCCCAACAAGAAGGCAAAAACCCGCTGCTGAGAAACGAGCTTCTTATAAGCTTTAGCATCATTGTCATATTTCCATTCTATAGCCTTATAGTGATTCAATTCCTTCCATACTGAAGTAAGGGCTGAATAATAGGTTGATAAGCTACGGTTCTCCTGTTTACAGGTTGAGGATTTAGCTTGTAGCTGGTAGATCTTGGCATAGTGCTTTTGCTCAGAATAGGTGGTTTTGGCCTGTTCCAAAATCTCACTTGCAGTGTCTGCCCACATAAAGTTCTTCTTCACATCAGATTCCATGGCTGCAAGAAGCCAGGACATCACCATACTGTTTTCTTGGTCCCACCGATCATGTTCAGCAGTCCCACTCTTGGGTTCTTTCACCCTTCCATTTATGTAACCAGCTTTTCCCCTCGCTGTTACATAGAGTTTTACACCTTTAGCCCACTTCAGGTAGTTCAGGCTGTTTAAAGGGGTGATTGGCATAGGGAACATCATACCTTCAACCCCCATACCAGCCATACTACGGGTTGATGTAACTCCAGATGAGGCAGAATCATCATTCGCCATTGGCAAAAAACAGGTCACAAGTCAAAAGACAAGGGCTGCAGGTAACAAGACCAGTCCTCACACAAGGACTACCTCTCACAGTCACACTTCTGAGGTCTACTGGCAGCAACTAAACAGTCCAAAAAACTAGTCCAGAAATAGTTCAGATATAAAGAGAACACTGCTGTAATCTACTACCAGTCCAAACGAATTGAAAAATTGTCACTATTGGACTACACACTTCACACACCAATCAGTCACAGCCCATACCTGTCACAAAGGGAATCTCACACCCCTGTACAGCACCTGTACGAAGGTGCAAAAAAGAACACGACTAAGCCTTAACAGCATCAGCCAACAAGGAGAAAAAAAAGGCTTCACAGCATCGGCCTCCTCCTACTAGGGTTACCTTGGTGCTCCGACCAAGGAAGAACCCCCCCAAAAAAAAGAGAAGAGATAGTTCTGATCAGACGATTATGGTTTCTTGTCCTTACTGTTCAGAAGATCAGAAATCTGAGTTGAAGAAAAAGCGACTCCTATTGCCCAGGTTTGCGCTCTGATATCATGTTTTCTTACAAGAATAGATAGAGAGAAGAGAGAAGAGAAGGGGGAGAAAGATGTGTGAGAGTCAAAAGATTAGGCTGGCGGCGCCCAGCTTCTCTTTTATATTAATATGATGTAACAATATAAAAAAAGAAAATTACAAGTGGGTCCCTGGTGGCCCACCCTAAACATGAAACTTAAGTAAAGAAAAGAACATGCTGACAGCAATCTAACATCAAGAATACACTCAATCCAACAACAGAAAACAACTCTTTTCCTTCTCTCCTCTAATTCCAAGAGGATTTTTCTTGCATATTCCTCACCTCCCAAGAAGAATGCTCGTAATTTCTTGCATGCCTCAACTTCTTTTTAACCATAGTACTAATATCATTTCTCTTATCAATCTTATGCACTTAATCCATTGGAAGTATTTGAATATATAAAAAAATTGTCATTTTTATTCATTCTTCCCATTGTATCACTATTTCAGTCCTTGAAGCAATGATTCATTTCTTTTTTGCTTCAGTTTCTAGCTAATTTTGCATGGTGGGCTTAAGATGCCATGATGTGCTACTGTTTAAAATGCTGCATTTTTTTTCTTGTACAACTTTGCATCTCTGAATGTTTATTGTAATCCAGGTACAATGATATAGCTAAGCATGCTTTTGTTGCAATGGGGAAGCATCATTCTGCCATAGCAGAGCTATCTATTGAGACATTACCAAATTCACAGGATTCATTACATGTAGATAAATGTCCTGGCCTTGGGGGGTAACTATCGTAACCTCATCAGTGGTTATTATTTTATAGAACAGAGCCTTTAGTGCTTCATCCCTTGTGACGATTTCCATACAGTGAAACATTAGATTCTTAATATATGCTCAATACATGTTCTTTCTTTTGTTAAGACAGGGTAATAATTGGAATTGGAGAACAGATCTATTCAGTTCTTCTGTTGAGTTTCTTCTTCCTAGAGGTGCATTATTTTTATATAGGTTCATTCATTGTTTTTTGATGTGTGTGTTGTATTTTTTTTTTTATATCATGGATTCATTTTCATTTAGTGGTATGAATAGGTAACAAATGTACTGAGGTTTTATAAGAAGGCATGATGTAAATGTGAATGAACTCATCATAAAACAATTGTTGTTGTACAAATACTGCCTTTGATGGTATTTGGGTATTATAATGCAGGTTTTTGCTGCAGGGTTGATACCCTACATTGGGAAAGTTCTCAACTTTCTTCTTCTTTCCTGGATGTATGCCTATTACTGTTTCGAGTATGTGGAGAACTTTCATATTCTGTTGCATGTCACCTTTATGCTTTCCTAGGTGACAAGTTTTTTTCTCTTTTACTGCTTAGGTACAAATGGAATCTTGCTGATGTTGCTTTGGATAAAAGGCTTGACTTCTTTGAATCAAACTGGGCCTTTTTTGCGGGTTTTGGTAATAAAAATATCTTCTCTGGAATTGACTCCATGATAATCATAAGCTATAAGTTTAGCAAAGTATTGTTTTCTGAAATGCTCTAGTTCTCTTTGCATGGAATTAGGTTATAAAACCCCAAGTACTTTCTACAAAATCTCCTAGGGTAGGGACAAAAATATTAACATTACTTATAAATGCTAAAGGACCCCTCCCAAGCTATCTTGAACCAATATGGGTAATGGATTTTTACAAGTATAAAACTGCACAGTTTGCTTTCAGTTTAAACACTAGGATAAGCAACCAAGAAACTTGTTCTTTATTGTGGTTCTTAAGCCTCAGCAGTTTTAATCTTGTAGTTGATAATCAAAAGTTAAAGTTATTTTATGGGATCTAGAAGGATTTATTTCAGAGTTATCGGATATCCTTTTGAATGTTTATAATTATTATTTATTTATTTTCTAGAAGATACCGGCTTTTAATATTAGTTCATTATTTCTTTGTTAGATTTTTTTTTCTTTCAAGAAAGACATATTTTAGTTGCTTTAAAGAGTAGTCTTGTAATGACTTATGCATACCTCTTCTAGTCCATTTTTCTTAATGAATATCTGAGTTCATTCTGCTATTCTTATAAGTTTATACTCTTATGTGGTAGTGAGGTTCCATCTTCCTGTTGTCCTTGGCTGGTGAGACTTCAATAGATATTTGGTTTCATGGGAAGATTCTTATCAATAATTCCTGCTGTAAGCCTATATATTTGTTTTTTACCAGTAACAGATCAATGAGAATTTTATTACTGAGAAAAAGAAGTAAAAGAGAATACATAAAACTTGCTAAGCCAATATAGCTAGCAACAAGTATAAATGTGCTCGCCCCTATGTAAGGACTCCAGTAAGAGTCAGCTTTGTTGGTTTCTCCCCTAGCTAGGAAAATTAGCAAAGGAATTGGTCAATCTGAATACCAAAGGCCTAGGTTCCCTTATGTGGCAAAGATATAATCAAGGCACCATCTTTTTATTAATCATCACTTGTTAGCCTATTTATTCCTTTTTCTCTTCCTTTTGCTGTTTTAGCATTTCATCAAAATATGCACCCTGTAAACTAACTGGAATACCCAGTAATCTACTGCTCTTGGGATGCATCCAAACAATCAATCTACCAACTATTTAACTTCTTTTATGTGGTGAAGATACAACCAAGGAACAGATCCATCCCCTCTTAATAGCCAGCCATCAACCTATTTGTTCCATTTTCTTTTCTTTTTTATTTTTCTATTTTAGTGTTTCATTAAAATTTCAGCCTGTGCCCAACTGGAATATCCTGTAATCTGTGTCTCTTGCAGTTCAACCAAATGAGGTGTTCAATCTGGATGTCAAAGACATAACTATCCATATGTGGTGAAGATACAGCCAAGGAGCAGATCTGTCCCCTCTTAGCTACCACCCATCAGCCTATTTATTTCTTTTTCTTTTTGCTGTTTTAGTGTTTCATCAAATCTGCAGCCTCTACCCAGTGATAGCAAATAATGTAAGTCCATTTGCAAGATAACAGTACCTAGTTGCCTAGGTGATAACGATTTTATAAAATAAAAAACTAAATTTCAGCTAGTTCCCTAGTTTTATATACCACTCAGCATGCATATTAATTGAAAAAGAAAATAGCAATTCCTTTTAAGAACATTAAATTTCCTCTCAAAACTGGTGAATTATCATATCTAAGACAATAGTATTTTAAATATTTTAAGTTCAATATTTCAAAAATAATATTAATATAATAAGAATTTAGTAAAACAATTTCATATCAAATTAGCAACCAAAGAAGGCTATAATTTTATATGATAAAATTTTCAGATAGAGAGTAAGTAAAAGAGAAAAAGAAAAAGGTGGAGAGAGAGAGAGAGAGAGAGGGATGAAGGACGGGGAGGGGTCCTACCAACTTAGGATCTGGTGGTGGGCTTTGTGGGGTGAATGAGGAGCTGTGGGTGCTGAGAGGGAGGGAGGGAGTGGATCTGGTGCTGGGCTTTGTGGGGTGAATGAGGGGCTGTGGGTGGTTAGAGGTGAAGGATATGAATGGAGAAACAATTAGAATGCTTGCTGTTACCAAAGAATGAGACAGAAATTAGAAAGAGAACTCTTGCTGTTGGGAAAGAGACAGATTGCTTAAAAGAAGAAATAAGGGGGGGGGGAGAGAGAGAGAGAGAGAGAGAGGATCTGGTGGTGGGCTTTGTGGGGTGAATGAGGTGAGGGGCTGTGACTGGTTAGAGATGAAGGATATGAATGGAGAAACAATTAGAATGCTTGCTCTTACCAAAGAATGAGAAAGAAATTAGAAGAAAGAGGAGAACTCTTGCTATTAGGGTAAACAACAAAGAGAAAGATTGCTTAAAAGTAGAAATAAGAGAGGGGGGGGGAGAAAAAACTTCTGGTAACAACCAGAATTCACTAAACCAATCTTTATTTCATCAAATCACTCTCCTTTTAACTCCAATTACAATGACTCTATTTATAGACTCAACTTACGGATGTCCCTTTTCAAAATCTAGTTTGGACTAGGAAATTGACCTAACACAACTCCTAATTGCTTTAGAACTAAGGCAAATCCATAACTAACCCATTAGAAAACTTAAAATAAGGACTCAAGCTTCTAAAAACTCAAAGTGACACTTTTCTAATCCGACTAAAACTACTTTAATTTAAAGACATCAGAAATTACTAAAACTAATAAATGATGAGCTTATTAAAAATAGTAATTATGAGAATTACTATAAATATTATCCCCAGAGTTACCATAAATAGTAATTTTGAATTAGCAATAAAAATCTAAAAAACAGAACTCTATTCTTAACCCACAACTAGAAAATAGAAAGCAGAAACAACACCAATATCCAATAACCCAAAAATAAAATTGGTTTGTTTCCCCATGAATTCTTTCCTTTCTTCTGCATATGCATTAGAGAGAGAGAAAAAAACTCTTTATACTTCTATTTTTTTTTTCTTTATCTCTTCTCAAAACCCTTGGGTATTTTAAATTTTGATAGTCAAACTTTAAAACAAAGTATAATTACACATATTAGTAAGATCTAGCAATATTAATGATATTATAATATGTTGCCCACTTTGTGATTTTTTGTCACCTAGGATTAATGTTTTAAAAGCGCAAGGTGCAAGGCGAGGCACGCACCTTTTTAAGAAAGGCGCAAAATTACAAAAAAAAAGGCTAAAAAATAAAAAATATTAAACATAAGAAAAGCGCAAAATTACAAAAAAATGCAAAAATTTCAAAAAATATTAAACATAATGTTAATAAAAATATAAACTTAAATTTTAAAATAAATGATTTAAAAAACCTATTATCTAAAATTAAAATACATAAACATAACATGTAAAGTGTATTCAAATGAAAATTTAAAAATAAAAGCAAACATATAAAGCATTTTCAAGCATGTAAAACCCATAATCTCTTTTTTTCCTTAATTGCATTGCTTCAACTAGTTAATGATGTAAAACATATTGCATTCTTGATTCTATGAGTCACCTTTGTACCACGCCCTTCGAGGCAGCCGTTAGACTAAAAAAGAAAGCAAAAATCCCAAAATTTTAAAAAGGCGCACACCTGGGCTGAGGCGCATCAGGCGCACCAGGCACGCACCTTTTGAAAGGGGTGCACCTAGTACCTGGGCGAGGTGCATACCCCAAAATGCGCCAAGGTGTGCCTGAATACTATGTTTATTTTTATCAATAACAGAAAAATATCAAAGAAGTAAGTACCTTATTTCTGTAAGTCAAGGTATCCAGGCAAGGTGCCCCACCAAGGGCACCAAGTCACCTAGGCAATGCCTTGAATACTACGTTTATTTTTATCAATAACAGAAACAGAATTCATTAATTATCAAAGAAGTAAGTACAAACAAATGAAAGGGAGAGATAAACTCTCTTATCTCTCCCTAAAAAGGAAATAGAATTACAACCATGCCCAAAATAATCAATTCCTTCCCACCTCTTATTTAGCCAGAGAATCAGCAAAAGAATTAGCATCTCTTTTAACCCATTTTAGAGTAACATCCATGTCTTGCATCAGCCGCTTAATTCTTCTCTTCTCATAGATGAACCCTCACCAACCCACTTCCCCTTCCTTTTACCACCATCTAATGACTAGTTTTGAGTCTCTCTCAATTGATAACCCCAAATATTCAACTCCTTTGCTTTTTGAATGCCCTCCAAGACGGCCAATATTTCAGTTCTCAAAGCATCTCTCACTCCAATAGGACCCGAGAAAGGAGCAATAACTTTCCTTTCCTCGTTCCTAAAAACTCCAATGCCTGAAGGACCTGGGTTTCCTTCACTTCTACCATCAAAGTTCAACTTAATGAAACTACTGGAAGGCGGAGACCAAAACAAGCCTTGAACGTTCCTTAGGAGGAGTGGAATCAGCAATTTCCTTCCACTTTCTCATCAAATCACCAGCTGGAATATCTTTAAACAGCTTCAAAGTCTTTACCCAATGAACCACTCTGATAGAAATGGCTTCAATTACAGCCTCCCTCTTCCTTTCCTTATCTAAAAAAGTTCTTTGATTTCTTTCTTCCTAGAGTGTCCAGCATACAATGGCCCTTGTGCATCTCCGGAGAGTTCTTCCCCTCTTCTTTTGCCCTCCAACAAAGGTATAGGAGAACGAGCTTTGAACAGAAGAAGGGGGGGTTCCACCTCACCCAAACAAAGAGAAACCATTCCCAAATTGCAGAAGCAAAGGGGCAGGGTATTAATAAGTGGTAGCAAGACTCACCGTTGACTTTACAAAGAGAGCACCAGGAGGGGGAAAGACACCAATTAGGTCTTTTTCTTTGCAGTAAATCACATGTGCTAATTCTCTCCAAGTACACTTCCCAGCAGAAGCCACCAACTCTAGGCGGAATAGGATTACTAAACCTCCTTTACTGAAAAAGACCCAACCATACTAACACTTGGCTGTATTAAATGCAAAAAGAATGATGCATAGGTAAAGGAACCAGAGGCTGAAGGGATCCAAATTCTATTGTCCCTTCATGAGGGATCCAACACCACTCTCTCAAGGTCTTGAAGCAAGGCCATGACACTATTTATTTCAATCTCAGGGATGCCTCTTCTAAAACCCAAATCCCAGTTCAGACCAAAGCTAGAACTGGAAGGAGCCAAGAAAGAAGAGAAATCAGCTTCTCTCTATGGATGGATAGGGCAAAAAAGAAGGATATTGTTCCTTTAAAGGTGAATTGCTCAGCCAAGAGTGCTCCCAAAATTTAACCAAATTACCGGAACAAGGATTATACTTGATGAGAGGCAGGAAGAAGGAAGGATGGCATGAATGGATTTCCAAGGAGAAGCTCTTGTAGACCTTGCTGAGATTCCAGAGTCCCACCCACCAGCTGCAAGCCCATGAATACTAATGACCACTTTTTCCCACAATTTACCTCTATCCAATAGCAACCTCCACATCCACTTCCCTAACAATGCAGTGTTCCTCTCTCGAATATTACCAAAACCTAGGGGTGGCCACAAGCCGAGCTTCTCACGAGCTATTCGAGCTCAGCTCGTGAAAGCTCGGCTCGGTTTAAACTGAGCTTTAAGTCGAGCTCGAGCCCGATATATAGGCTCATTTGCTAATCGAGACGAGCTCGAGCCTAGTGAAGCTCAGCTCGTGAAGCTCGCGAGCCTAATTGAGCCTAATCAATTTTTCAATCCTTCTGGTAACCCCCATTGGGATCCTAAAAATAGAGAAAATAGATAGGCAGATTTGGAAGAGTTGACCTAATTAAAGTCATCCTACTGCCCAGGGAAAGATAGTTTTTCTTCCAAGAAGCCAATCTTTTTTGTAAATCTCTCAATCACAGGGTTACAAAAATTGCTAGCTCTCAAATTGTCCCCCAAAGGTAGTCCCAAATAGGTCATAGGCCACTTGGAAATCATACAACCTAAAGCTTCTGCACCCTCTAAAATCTCCCTCTCCTCTATATTCAGCCTCACAATACAGCTTTTATCCAGACTGATCCTCAGATTGAACATTTGCTCAAAGATTTTCACAATTTTGGTTTGGTCAAATGATTTTATCTTTATTGCAGAGCTAATACAAACATGCCTCTATTGCTGTAACCAGAAGTGCATGTGATATTGTTGTGTTTGCATTTTTGTCTGAGTGATTGTTCTTAACACCCTCCCAAAAAAGATTTCTGTTTTTGTTTTTATTTTTTTGGGGTGGGGGTGGGGGTGGGGCAGACACCTTATGGTGATGTCAAATGGAGGTTTCCATTACAAGCATATACTTAACCATGATCCTTTTCCTTTTGGAATGACAAGGTGATAATTTTAATATTTATACCTTATGGCTCATTACCTTTTCAGGAGGCCCTTGTGTTCTGGCAATTTTCTTTTTCCCTCCTCTTGTGAGCTATGGAGTTATGGCTATTCTGTTTCCACTGGTATGTTCTAAGCCTTGTGTTACCGCTTACATTACAGTTGCAAAAGATGGCTGTTCTTTCTATTTTTCCTATTCCTGCATCTATGTACTTGTTCTTAAATGACTCTATGCTTATTAGGGTATCCATGAATAGGTTATGTTATTTCAACAATATGTCATTTCCCATGTGAAAGTTTGAAGCTTATTTATATTCTAGTTTAGGTAATAATTATCTGTTAAGTAGCAATTCTTAATAATTATATAGTGATCCAACCTCTCTATTTGAATGGTATTGCTATCCAAATATCTAACTCTTAAATAATCAGAATTCATGCTTGATCTGTGCACTATAACAAGCCAAACCATGAAGCCAAATTCCTGGGTAAGTGTTTCCCAGGAAAATGATTTCCTGAAACGTGAACTAGGCCTTACTAGTAAATGTGCATGTGCATTGAACGTGGCAATTTAAGTAATTGAGGTATGGTGTAGTGGTGCATTTGTTGCCTTTCAACCTAAAGGTCCAGCTTCAAATCTTCTTACACAGTTTATATCAATATTTTCAACCTATGGTTGAACTAGACTATTGGACTGATTGACCTGTTAGCTAGCCAGGTTTCTAGTTCTTCTTCTTCCAAACCACCTTATTGTGAAAAAAAAGACTTGGTCAAGAACCTGATAACCTGACCAATTGACCACTAACCCATTTAACTTGATCAACAGGTCATAGGTTAAATATTAATTCTATTTTTCTGTTTTTTCTTTTTTGTATTTTTAGACATTTCCATCATTGATAACAATCATAAGTTGAGTGGTTTACTTGTTTGACCTGGATGGTTAAACTGCTGAGCTACCACCCAGAAGGTAATGCAATTGGTCTTTAAAACTTTGGTTTCTTGTCAGTTTTTTCAACCCATTGTCGTATTGGCTTGTCAGACCAGTCAGCCAATCATCTCACCTGGAATCCAAGTCCATTTCATTACCAAACTGCTTTCCTGGAAAAAACAGTTGACTCAGTCAACAACCTGATGACCCAGTTGATTGAATAATTGAATCATTCAACTCAGTCAATGGGGTAACCTGTTAGATATTAATTTTTTTTTTTGTGTGTGTTCTTGTATTCCATTTCCATCATTAATAGAAATAATTCTTATTTATCTCTCTTGTTTTGGTTTAGCATGATGAGTATAAAATATTAGAGATGTGCCCAAAACATGCCCTAAATATAAGAACTAATGAGAGAGAATAGGATGGACAGAAAAGTAGAAATTCAAAACACACTTTCTATCTTCACAATAGAGGGGCCAAATTCAGAAATGGGTATTTTAATCAAGGAAAAGTCCAGAAACACTCAAGGTCCATTCAGTGATTTAAAAGATGCACCTAGGCACACAGGGCACATTTCACAGTATGCCTTGCCCACGCTCAGGTGCAGCCCCTTTGAAAAGGCACACATCTAGTGTACCTAGGCATGCACCCGATGTGCCTTGTGCCAGCCCAGTTGTGCACTTTTTCAAGCACAGTGGTGAACTGGTGATGCCCCCCCCCCTTTTGTTGGTGTTTCCACATCCTTCTTAATACAAGAAATTCTTCATCAATTAACATTTGATTCCTAACCCTAAAATCATAAAACATCTCTTTATATATGAGGCAAAAATTTAGGACCCTTGCGTGGATTTGCTTGGGCTTGCCTCAAGGGGCGTTATGGAGGTAGAGGGCCAATTTCATTGATTTAGGAATACAAGATGCTTAACATCACATTAGCTACCTGAAGTAATGCAATTGGGACTTGGGAGAGACAAAAAAGATTGAAAGTTTAACATGCGTGAATTGTGGAGTGCTTTAATATGTTTTGTTTGATTTTATTTCTACACTCTGACTTTGAATATGTTTTCTATGTTATGTTTATGTATTATAATTTGATCCAATAGGTTTTTTTAAAATGCTTGTTTTCTTTTAAAATTCAAGTTTGCATTTTTCTGAATTAATATTTTTTTTTAATTTTGTTCACTTTTTTGAATGGCTTAAAATTCTGCACCTTGCTTCAAAAAGGCGTGCACCTTGCCCTTTTAAAACATGGGGTCCATTTCCACTTTTTATAAAAATTATAGATATATGACATTATATAATATAATTATATATTATATACATTTTGTATGGCATTATATATATTATGTGATATTTTATATTATATTAAGTGTAAATATATTTTAAATATTTAAACTTTGTAGGTCCATAGGTTTGGTCTATCCCTAACTGTGCCTTGGCTAAGCCCATTATAGCAGTGCTAAGTCCAGCCTGGTCCCGCCCAGCCCATGATCAAAGGTCACCCCAATTATGACCCTAAGAATTTATCTTTTGTGCCACAATCCTCCATGGTGATTTCTCACTACCACTCCAATTTCTGTATCCCCATTCTTTCCCAAAGAAGGATCACAAGTGATTTTAATTTTATATGGCATAGAGTCTTCCATCAAACCATTTTGATACATTTCTTCCTCCAACTCACATCATGAATCAACATATTGGTGCTGAGATAGTTTGTGAACATGTTAAATGCCATTTCCAATATTCTTTGAGGTCTAGGCTCTTTCCCTCTGAAGATAAATTCATTTGAGACAATTTTCTGATAAAAGCAAGGCTATCTTCTCCTGATCGCCATCATAGTTGTCAAGGTGACACCTAGGCGGGTGCCTAGGTGGCGCCTAGGCGAGGCGTTCTTGGAGGGTTGCCTCGCCCAAATGCCTACGTATTTATTCATATTGTGGGTTTATAGTATTAATATTGTTATTCTTATACTAGTTTCTTTTTGTCATTTTCTTATTTGTTTGGGTTCAATGAACCCTTTAGGACTTTAAAACCTGAATTGACAAGTAAAAAATAACTTGACGATTTTATCCAATTGACACACAAGAACAATCAATAGGACTTCTGCTTCTTAGGACCAAAACAAGGGCTCAACCCTTATGTTTTGTTTGTTTTTTTTTCCTTTCTTATTTTACTACTCATAAATATGTTCACTTTCTATCTATTGATATGGGGTTTATACTTATTTCATGAGAATTATGGTTAAAGATCACTACTTATTACTATGAAACCTAGGGATCTACCCTAGGATTTATATTTTTTATTTTAAAGAACTCTTCGCCTAGGTGACTAGCTGACAAGGTGCTCCTCTATTGCCTAGCTTCGCCCTGGTGCCTTGAAAACTAAGATCACCATCCTTTCTATGGTTCCGAGTCTTCTAACTAATTCTGCTTGTTACAGAATAGGAAGTAAATACTAGGGAGATATGATGTTATAGAATARGAAGTAAATACTARGGAGATATGATTTACCTTGATTGTAGGACTGATTTGTAGGAATTTAATTAGTCTTCTTTCCTAACATAGAATTTGTAACTTGTATATATACATACGAGATTGATGAATACATATAACAAATTCTT